ATCTTTTAACTATAGCGTTTATAAGTGATACATGTGGTGACTTTTCTCTTTTTATATTATCAAGCCCCAATGTTATCCCTATATAGAAGGTGGTTTTGTTATGGTTCTCCCTTTTTGGGACTCAGAGTTTTTAGTTTTCAGTTATTAGTTATTCTGTTTGTTGATTTTTGGTTTATTTTCCATTATATTCAAGCATTCTTTAGTTACTCTCTGTTGCCCCCTTGTGCTTGTTTCCTTTCCCTTGGCTTCCTTCTTGGTAGTTCAGTTCACACCTGCTCCATATTAAGCTCATTAGCCTATCATTTGTTCTCTTCCCCTTCTATACTCCACTTCTGCAGTCACTCAGTGCTGGTTTGTTGTTGTTTTTACTTGTTTCTTCATCTCTGGCTCCCCATGTGAGTTTTCCCTGGTGTTTTCTGTTTTTTTGCATTTTTGGATATCTGCCTCAGCTGTCCTATTAAATCAACAAGAACTCATATATACTTCACTCATCTCTACATGTGGGTCCTCAAGCAACTTCACCACCATTGTTGTGCGAGGCAAAGTTTGTGACTCTAATGGCAAATACATTGAATAAAGCTGCTGCACCTGTGAAGTACATGAATCAACATTTGTAGGAGTTAAAATATCTGAACTTTTGTGTACATTCACCGCAGAGTACACCAGACAGGGAAATGGGGTGAAGAACAGCAGTAGAAACTAGGTTTTTTTCAATCAAAGTGGAAAGATAGAAAATATAATGTTGACATATATTATGAAGTAGGGAATGCTCTAGAGAGGTTTCCAGGTGGCTATTAAAAAAGCCATTTTAATGTGTGTGGTCCGTTGCCCTGCGATCTCCTGCTATTAGCCTCTGGAGCTAGCCCCGGTGAGCCGCTGCCTTTCCCCTATTCTGCTGCTCTCTCTGCCCAATGGAGTGCTCTGATCTACTGCTGACCTTCAATCAAAGCCTGCTGTGGCTCTTTAGCTCCAGAGGATGACATGGCCGGCCTTGTCCTGGCTGTGGGGCTTTCTCTACTGGGGTTATGCTTTGATTTCCCACTGGTCCTGACTGAGCACCTGAAGGACATCTTACCTTATATTAAACTCCTTGGAATGCGGCGTAATCCAGCCCAACTAGTAGGATCTCTAGAGGATCTTCCAGACCCAGGGAAGCTGTCGGTTTTGTTTGGCTTTCCAAAGTAAATAAGTCACTGCAACACAATCCATAAAGGTGAAACTGAGAACCAGAACATTTGATTACATACTGTAGAGGAGTCTTTCACCCACTGTGCAGATAGTTGTTTCTCAACAGGCAAATGTTTTGTGAAATATCCGCAAAAGGGCATGAACCTGGCAATCCTTTGCAGTGTGGACGCATCATTACAGGTAAAACCATTAGGAAAATAAGGTTGGTTAACTTACTAATGCATTCTGTCTGGACTTTAAAAAAAAAAAATATCTCTGCATTAATTAGTTAATGTTTTTCATTGTTGTTGTGCAAATTCTTAAAGTCAGATCAAACAACACTGTAACAAAAAAAAGTTCTTACTTTATAAAACTGATTCTTGCTGCTCTAGGAGTGAAAATCAGTACCTCCCAGCAGCTCACACTGTGTTTAACATGGATCTGTGCCATACTTTCTAGATGTAACATTCCTCTGTACTCTGTGACTTTATAGAACCTGGGACCCCAGCAGTTTTCACACCTTGCTCTCAATGTCTGCTCAGTCTGCGTTTCCACACCCCTACCTGGCAACTCACAGTCTTCATGTTAGGGTGGGGGGACAAATCATAGGCAGTTTTTTATCCATTCAGAAAGCTGGGACAGTTAAGGATTCAGTCAATTTTGTCTCAGAGAGGAGTGTTGCCTACAGAACAGCCCTAAGGAAGCGTTTCACGAAGTTGTACTTGCAGGGTGGAAAGCAGAACAGGTAAGAATCAGATGGAGGAAAACACTTGGTCTAAGAGCTAGTTTATTCCTTATGTTTTGACGAGGTTTTAAATGTGTAAGTTGAGCTAATATTATAATCACATATAAAATGAACATTCAATAATAAAAGGTTTCAGTTTTAACATGTCACTGGTAAGGTTTGTTATTTAATTCATTGAAAATATTAACCTGTTTTGTGTAGCAATTTTCTCTTCTGTGCAAGCTAATTTTACTCCCTTTCACAACTTAGTAATTATGAACAAGAAAGTCAACCTTAAGCATTCTATAGATGAAGGCTTTTTGCCATTCTCCCAGAGGGTAATGTGTTTCAAATCCGAGTAGGTTTATTTACCATTTGAAAGGTTGGATTGTTTCACATAGGTACTATCTTTAAATTTAAAGTGTTTTTTAAATAATTAAGATCCTCAGAAATCAAGTGAAATGTTACTAAAAGTGATGAATGAAATAGAAATGAGATGATCTACTCGATGTGTTTAGTGTTGTGCCTGTATGCTTTTATTTATATAATAAGCTGTGAAGAAAGAGGAAAGTGATGCATGTTTTTATTTCTTCTGTTCTGTACATTAACCTAGTCAATGTCCAGACTACTCCCACAAATTAATATACTGTAATATAAACCCTTCCTTTGACTGCACAGCACGTACAGGTATATACAGTAAATAACCCATAATGGCAAAATGCAATTATTATTCTGTTCTATTCTATTCTATAGATAGCATTGCGGTGACGCCACATGTCAGAGTGCGAGCCTAGCGATGACTGCTGTCATCTTAAAGGGGGTAAACCTTTTCCTAGCAACCACAGAGGTAGATAGTCCTCTCAGTAGATTTTTCACATAGTTTGGGTCATTATGATTTATGAATACCAAGAAAACCTCCTACCAAAAGATAAAGGCAGGTATGGCAAAAAAATTTGCTCTAATCCACCTGAGAAAGTGCCAGGGTGGGGAGAGGCTGCAGCTGACAGAGGCTAGCTATAGAGGCTAACTGTGGAGGATCAAGGGACCGCCGTAGTAGATAGGATAAATCAGCTGGGAAAGCAAACTCTGACGGCGGGGGAGAGGCTAAGTGGAAAACAGGAGGAGGACAGTGGTACTTTGGAGAAGCCCACCAGGGCCAAGAGCATGGGGAGGCTATGGCTGACTTAGGCTAGCCTCAAGCATGTTGCTTGCAGATGGTGCAGAGGCTAATTGTGGAGGATCAATGGAGAGAGAGGGGAGCAGCTGGCTGGTGCGCTAGAGGAAGGGTTACGAAACAGTCCTTCTACGGCTAAATCAATACGGCTATTTTAAAAGCCACCTGCTAACTCTTTAGAGCATTCCCGCATCATCCTGTCTACATTATTTGATTTTAAAAAAGCTAATTTCCACTGCCTCCTTCTCTAAACGGCAGTCAATGCATTATAGTTTTTCAACTCCTAATTTACACATGTAAACCTCCACTTTGACTTTGGGCTCCAGGCTTTGCCATTTTTGCTGATTTTTTGTAAAGCTTTCACCCAAACTGTTCTTTTTTGTCCTTTTTTCTGTTGGCTGCCATTACTACACGGTTGTTTACCTCTCCTGTAATGGTGGCATGTGGTCGTCAGGTGTGATATCCGAGATGTATAATGTTACATGATGCTTTCTCTTCTATTATATTCCTGTCATGATCTGCTGTGATAGCTGGCCTTGATTGCTCATTTCAGTCACCTGACTAGTTCTGCCCAGTTCCTAATCATCTCTGATCTCATCCATCTGTAGGTTATGCTTTATATTCGATCCGGCCCAGCTATCGAGGCCAGATCATTGTTTTATGTTAGTTTGCTGTCTACTAGTTTCAGCTGCCCATTAGTTTGTCTGTTTAGTTTATTATATGGTTCATGTCCTGGTTCCCTGCGCCGAGTGAAGTGAGAGGATTTTAGTGTTTGTTCTTATTTGATGGTTTCCGTATGGTTCTCCGTTGAGCCCTCAGGATTTTGGCTCGGAATGCAGAGAAGGTCAGTTTTGTTCCCGTAAGCCTGGCTACCAGGAGGAGACCAGTTTAAAGTCCTGCTGAGATTCTGGTACGACGTCTTGCCTCTGTTCTCTCAACCACTTAGCCTGTCTGTCTGCATTTGAACCTGCTTTTCTGTGTCTGTGTGGGCACGCTTCTGGACCCATCTAACTCTGGACTCTGAACCTGCCCGAACGCTCTATGGATTCCTGGAAGTCTGGATCCTTCTGTTCCTGTTTGCGTGGGAACCTTGGATAGAGCGGAGCTTTTCTGGATTCCTGAACTGTTCCTGCCTGCTCTGTATTTTCCGGACCTGTGACTTTGGCTTCCTGTAACTTCTCCGGGGCCGCAGCATCAGGGACCCTCTGGGCGATGCACGATGCATCTGGTTTTCAGCCCATCGACTGGATCGCACCCCTTTCTTAGGAGATGGACTGAACTTTGAAACACGAGTGTCAGTAAATGGGTGGTGCCAAGTCCCCCTCTTGTAGCCGCCGTGAGCTGCAGATCCTCAGCAGCGCGCTACTGTTCTGTCTGTTTTTTTTATTTTAATAAATGTTAATAAATGTTTTGAACTTTACTGACTGTCTGACACTTAAATACTGGGGAATCTTTTTAATATTACTGCACACCACCTATTGGGTAAGGACTTGAAAAAAAAAACAAATGCCAAAAGTTATCAGCTGTGGATTTGAACGGTTGAGCCTTTAGCGGCCATCCTCTCATCAACCCAGTAAACTGTGGTTGCCTAGCAACCTTGACGGCAGGACACATAGACTTATGAAACCATGAGGCAACTTTTTCTGTTTTAATATCCTTTATCTTATTATATATGCTTAACTAAAACACATATCTTAGAAAATACAAATTATTAGAGCATTATTTTATGACTAGTATTATGGAAATAAAAAAAGGCAGTCCACAGTGCCATATGACAGAGATTAGATGAAGATGAGACTTGATTTTCTTTATTAAGGAGACACATGTTAAAAACTCAAACAGTAAAGACCTTCAGCATGTTCTGTTTTGATGTTGCTCCTCAGAGACTCACACCACTTTCCTGTTAATGTTTTTCTGTCCTTCTTTCTTCAGTGAAAATGCCGCCACTGATGAAGTTGATATTAGTCATTGTTAGTTTTCTGCAAGGTGTGGGAAGCTGCCCTGATGTTTGCAAATGCTCAAAAAAGTCTGAGCCAGAAAAGACAGAGGTCAACTGTCATAAGAAGGGGCTTCGTGCCCTTCCCAATAATCTACCTCCTGACACTTGGATACTAAAATTAGGTAAGAACCGTTAGGGTGATAACTCAAGTTAATTATTATGGATGTACTTTTGAGAATAACCTTTGTTTCCCCCAATGCTGCAAAAAGGTGAGAATGGCATCCCGGAGCTAAAGGCCAATTCATTCAGATCAGTTCGGAACATTGAGAGCATTAACCTGGAACAGAATGCAATCAAGTCCATCCATCCCAAAGCCTTTTCTGGAGCAAAGCAACTTATGCTGCTCAATCTTCAAGGCAACTACATCACAATCCTCCCTCCTCGGGGATTTCAGGTAAGAAGGAAGAGAAAATGAAAATGTTCTAATCTTTTACGTACTGCAATATAACCAAAGTCATTTTTTTTACCTTGTGTGTAGGACCTCCTGAACCTTCGTTTTCTCATGCTGGGCCAGAATCAGATTGGCGTTCTCAAGCCTGAGATGTTCGCTGGCATGAGGAACCTCTCGGAACTTGACCTACCTCTTAATGCGCTGACAATACTTCCATCGAATGTCTTCAAACCTTTGATAGCTCTAAAGGTTTTGGATCTTTCTCTGAATCGTATCCAAAGGATCTCTCCCAAGGCTTTTACTGGACTCAGACAACTCCTGTTCCTCAACTTGGACAATAACAGGTCAAAATAGTATATGGTGCCAAAAATCTAAATACAAGGCCATGACAAACCTGCAAAAATACTTTGCAATAATGTCTTTACACATTTTGTTACACTGCAATTACAACAAGACACAAAAAGCGGGGGCCACCGAAAAAACCTTTGGTCTTAGATGCAAACGAAAAACATGTGGGAGAGTCCAGTTCTGCAGATTACCTCAATACAAGTCATGTTATTATTAAATTAAAGAATAAACCCATCCAGGGCTCTACTGAAGGGTACTACTGCCTCCAATGAATTGTCTGGTATTTTTCTAACTTGAACAAGACTCGAGACTAGTTTGGAACAGCAATTCCCATCTCGACATTAACCCTAGCCAACAAACAAGCAGAGCTACACTTAAGGATGGTTTATACTCAGAAACCAGGTCGTCTGCATGTGTGCCGCAGTCAACGCAGATATGAATGAATGTGAATATGTATCTTTAGCAGCCGGTGTCATTACACCATTTCTATTTTAGATTTGATGATTTGCATGTTAGTTTAGAAAAATACCACAGTAGAAGGTAATGCTGTTAGTAGGAAATGATCCTAAAAGGTTTCCTTTCAGTTCGTATTCAAATACAATATTTTTAGTTTTGGTTTCTTCACATTTATAGTACAGAGCGATCCAGCTGGTGGAGTGGTACCAGTCTGGTGTTGATAAAGTGGATTCCATTTTTCTACAGTGCCTAGGATAGCTTTACATCAATGCAATTATCTGATTAATATTTGTCCCCAAATTTAGTTTGAAAACAGTCCCGTCTGGAGCATTCCGGCCACTGCAGTCACTGGAGATGCTGGTCCTGGACAACAACCTCCTGACCACATTGAGTCAGTCAGCTTTGGATGGTCTTAGCAACCTGCAGGTAATATACAAACACTAAGTCTGAGAAATTACCAAGGATGTTAATACATGTTCTTATTTTGAATGTTCTTAAGTTTTTATATGTAAAGTTCATTAAATTAAGCAGAGTAAATGTATTTCTCACTAAACCAGGAACTCTACCTGAGGAACAACCAGCTGGAGCAGCTGCCATCTGATGTCTTCAGCAACATGCCCAGGCTTTCCCAGCTTGGGCTCAGTGGTAATCGCCTGAAGACAGTGGATGGGAACATGTTCAGCCATATGCCCGGTTAGTTGGCCTTAATTTCTTTCCATTAAATCAAAATGCCCTGATTAAAGTTGTGAGCAGGGCTCCCTTCTGTTTCACCTCAGAGCTGAAGAAGCTGTATCTGCACGATAACCCATGGCACTGCAACTGTAACTTGATCTCCTTGGTGAGATGGATTGGACAGACCAAGGCCACCATGTCACCCCGGAGCACCCTGAAATGTCTCAGCCCACCAGAGTTGAAGAACAAGAGCCTAGGCAGCCTGCAACCAGGAAAGCTGCAGTGTAGCACCTAAAGGGAAGAAACAGACCTCAGTGGCTGCTTTGACATGAGGAAATATAGATATTCATATTTTAATCCAAACTGAATTACTTCTTATTTTAGTCCTAAATAGAGCTACAGTAAGTGAAATGTATTTACTAAAGTCCTATGTATTTTTTTATGCTTATTATATACATGATTGGTAGTTTTATATGTCATTTAGTATGTGTTAAGGGTTCTTAATTGGGAACACCATTTTTTTTAGATTGGCCCCTTGATGTCTGGGGGACAGTGATTGGCCTACATGTTCTGAATGCTGGCGTACCAAAAAGAATAAATTATGAACAGTTTAGTTTTTTCCTTCAACTCGTTGCCCATAGGAAGACGTTACTTGGATATAACCTAACCGAATATCTTCAGAACAGCTCCAAATGACACAAAACTAATATGGGTGAGTAGAACATGATGTAATAACGTAAAACCAAGGAGCCAATGTAAAAAAAAACAGTGTTCCCCTTTAAGAGCCTCTTTTTGTGAATATTTCATACTATAAACAACATTCTCTTACAGTATTTATATCAACTTGCGGCCAATGATATATATGGTTTTAACTGGACTAAGCAAAGCACTCTCCTTCAACCAAAGCCAAGTTTGTTTCCTAATCTCTTAAATTCAGCTGTGAGATGAATATTAATCTCATAATCTCGTATTTCCACAATTGTATGTGCTAGCATGGAAAGTGAGGGATTACACGCTAAAGGATTGTAGTAAACTGGCTTATATATATATTTTTAATTTTGAGCAGAAAGTTGAGAAAGGAGGCCTTCTTGTTTTCTACACTGGGAAATAAAAAGATGAAAGTGGACACATTAAATGTAAGGTTGTGAAATCTGTATTTTTTTCTATTAAAAAACAAGGTGAAAACAGACACCCAACTAATATGGTGACAGTGGGATTTATTGTCAAAATAAACCCTCAGTTGGGCTTAAAAAGATGGTGACTACTGTATAGAAATACAATTAACAAGTTATGTAGATCTGAATAAACAACCATGACCTTTACTGTATTTTATTAAGATTTTTGTGAAAGGGAAAAATTGCTTTGTTTTTTCAAATATGGTAAAAAAAATATCTAAGAGGAGAATTAATCAGAGAAACGGCAGAGAGGTCGACAGTAACATTGGAGGATCCCCAAATATGTAAAGTACAAAGTACTTTGAGTGGTGGAGAACACCTGGACCATAAAAAATGAGGTGTTAACATGAAGCTAAGACCTTCATGCTTTTGTGAAGCTTTTCAAATGTATGTCAGATAGTCTTTGGTCAATTCTCCACTTAAGTCATGTTAAATGATGTTCAGGCTAAAGCCCTGAACACACCAAATCCGATTTTTTAACTGATCCGACAGAAAATCATATTGGACGAGATCATAGCAAGGGGGCTGCATAGATCCACCTGAGATAGACCGCTGGTCTATTTTTGTCAGACTACCCAGCGATTCAGTGGCAAGTGTTAAGGGAGTGGCGGCCTAGTGGTTAGGGCATAGCTCTTCCAGGTTTTCCATTTGTTGTCCTCTGCTGCCCTCTTGTGTCCTCTTTCCCTAGCTCTGTTTTCTGCTCTGTCCTCACCTGTTTTCAATCCTCTCGTTAGCCCTCTCTTTGTCTCTGTCCCCTTTAAAAGCCCTCCCTCTTCAGTTCCTGTTTGCTGGATCCTCGTCTAACGTCTGTCTGCTTACCTCGTCTCTCCCCTGCTCCTAGAGTTTGGTTTTCCTCTGATGTCTCCTTGGTTCTGGTTCGTTTGTTATTTCTGTTGGATTTTTTGATTCGTGCCTCAGTTCCTGTGAACCTCATTAAACCCACCTAAATTCACCTCTGCTTACTTGCCTCTGCATTTGGGTCCTCAAACCAACACCTAATCCTGACAACCGAAAATGACATTTAATGAATTTTAATGCCAAATAAGGCCTTAATTTGAAAAATAATAATTTAAGTGACTTTTAATGATTTTTAATGACCAGCGGAAACCCTGTGAAACACATCTGCTTTGTGGGAAAATACAAAATAAAAACTGTTAATCGCGCAGGTAAAGAGTCAGTTTTGGAGTCGCACATCGCACATTTCGCAAGTGGTTGACTTGAGAGCAAAAACATTCAATGAAGTATTAGAAAAAATAATACTTTACCATGATAGGAGTTCAAGAGGACAGAAAATAGATAAAATAGTGATCCTCTTTGAGCCTAGCAACAAAAAAAAGTGAGGGACAGAAAGCGCAGTTTATCAATCTCCTCAAAAACGAAAAAAAGAACATCAGGAGGATAGAAAATGAATAATAAAATATTGATGATCTTTGAGCCTCACAAAAAAAAATGAGGGGCAGACAGTGCAGACAAGCAAACTCTTCACTTTTCTCTCTTTATGAAAAAAAATAGAAAAACTAAATCTTAAATTTCATAGATCTCGCTCTGAGAATCACCTCTCACTGCCTCAGTCAGCATATAAATCGTCCAACAGCGTTTATTGCTGTGTTTTCCTTTTCTTTAAACGTGCTTCTCATTATGTTTTTAATATAGACCTATAAGAATTCTCCATCTGCTCTGATTTGAGATGCTGTATACTGTAGACTTGTTAAGTGGGGCTTTGCTTTATAGCTGCGCCTTTGTTTTGTAAAATGTATTAATCTTTAATGACTTTTCATAATCTGTCCAGGTCAAATGTGGGAAATTGTTCTTATTTGTGTGTGACACAGAGACAAGTGTAAAAGAAATATATGCACAGATGTGTTCAACATCCCTAATGGAAGCCTTTCACTGGAAAAAAATGAAATCTCAAGTCATGTTTTCTTAAAACAAGTGCATTTGTTCTTGGGTTGAGGAGGTAAAAGGGACATTTTGCCAGTGGAACAAGACAATTTAGACTTAAACTAAAAAAAACTATTTTAGAGTAAAAATACTAATTCCATTGGCAAACTCATTTACCTACTCAAATTAAGGGTAAATACATTTAATTTAAAAATTGTTTTACTTATTTCTAGATCTAGATTCTAAAAGAAATCGGATCAGAGGTGGAAAAGTCATACCCGTGTGAATGTGAGAGGAGAATATTTGCAAGTCAGTACAATTTATGCATTTTAGACAAGAATTTATGTGTGAGAGGAGAAAGTTTGTGTAAGAATAAAATGCATTCATGAGAGAAGAGAAATTATGCATGTGAGAGGAGAGTGTATGGATGTGAGAGGAGAGTATATGAATGCGAGAGGAGAAAGTTTGCATCTGAGAGTACAATTTATGCATATGAGAGGAGAAGGTCTGTGTGAGAGTAGAATGTATGCATGCGAGAGGAGAATGTGTGTCATCAAATTACAAGTATGTTTTTTTTTTTTTGGTTAGGTCGTCCGGTAAGTGGGCAAGTGTGTAAAAAATTGGTTCAATCCATTAAAATGAGCAGATTGAATGCTGAAGTGGCAGTAAAAAGTAACCCTAAAAAAAGATGAGGGTCAGACTCATGGGGTTGTAGATATTAAGTGACATTCATTTTTTTTTAAATTAAATTCTAAATCTTTTGGAATAAGGAATAAGAAATCCCTCTTGTGCTTCAACCCCAGCCTGTGTTAACACTATTTTCTTTATTAATATAATTCTATTATTTCTGACAGTCCAAATATGTCTACATGCACACAGGATACACCGCCATGGCTTCTTTTACTGAACGACTTAGCTTCCTTGTGGATCAGATCCAGAGTTATCAGAGTTCCTCTGATCATCCTGCAGCATACCGTACTCCTCCACCAAGCCAGGTCATTTTTCACTGAGGTCTGAGCTGTCATCTCAATGACCAATAATTAACTCCACAGTCAGATCCTCTGAACTTTTCTAGCCAGTCAGACCCTCTTAGACTCCTAGCTTCTCAGTCAGGCCCCTTAAGTGTTCCCTCTCCAGGGTCAGACCCCTCTAGTGTTCCCTCTCCAGGGTCAGACCCCTCTAGTGTTCCCTCTCCAGGG